GCTCTTCTGAGATTTCTGGAAAAAAAGGTCATAGATATATTTGGTTCAGAGATTTAACAAATTTGTGAAAAGACTCTTGTGAAGTTTTAAAAGATTTCTGACTGTCCCTTCTGCCTTAACCAGTGTTAGTGAATTAATATATTTGAAAGAAACTCTATTTCTCAGTGTAGAAATAGATTCTACCTATTTAGCTATTCTGAAGAAGGTATTAAAATGACATATATCCAACCTTTTTTGCCTTTTAATCAATTTTTTAGAAGTTTTGCTATTACCATATAAGTAACATGACTTTGGGTACCAGGAGAAACTGAAGGTAATGCACCACTAGAGAATTACTTCAGACTAGCCATCATTTTGACAGGTAATAGCTTGCCATAGTAAATTGCAGTTATACTATGCTGTAAAACGTGAACAAACCAAATGAATAAGCAGATGATGAGCGGTTTCACTTTCCAACCAAAAGAACCCTGTTAATTTCCTTTGATAATTAGTTAGTTTCATGAGTGGGCTCTTCTGATATTTTAACCTTTAAAAAGAACGATGTCCAAATCTCTAATTCTGGGTTATAAGATGCTGTGTCAAAGATTGCCTGAGCAATTATTTGCATGGCAAGTTCATTCTGAAGCTTTAATGTGCATCAGAATCAATTGGGATGTCTATAAAAATTCAGGCTCCCAGGCCTCTATGGAGGGAGATTCTGATTCAACAGATTTGGGACAGGACCCAAGAACCTGCGTTTTCAATTACTTACTACCTCTGGTGATTTTCAGGCCAAGGGCCTGTCGGTCACTCTATCAGCTTTCTGTTGTGTAACCAATTACCGCAAACTTAGTGGCATTTATTATCTCACAGTTTCTATTGGTCAGAAGCCTGGGCACGGCTTAACTGGATCCTCTGCTCCGGGTCCCATAAGGCTGAAACCAAAGATGTCACTTGGGCTGCATTCTCATCGGGACGCTCTGCTCGCCTGCTCATTCAGGGTGTTGGCAGCCTTCATCTGCTTAGGTCTGGATACAAGGGCCTTGGCCTCTCACTGGCTGTCTGTTGGAGGCCGCCCCCAGGTAGTAGAAGCCACCTACACCGAGGCCCTCCACAGGCAGTTCACGACATTCCTGTTTTAGTTTTTAAACCCAGCAAGAAACTCTCTGGGCTCAGGGAGGGCCTACTCTCTCTTTTAAGGGCTTTTACCTCTCCAAGTTGGGCCCACTCAAGGTAATCTCCCTTTTCATTGATTTGGTATGTTGATCGTACCTGTAAAATCTCTCCATCTTTGCCTTCTAATATAACCTTGTCACAGGCAAGAAATCCCATCCCGTTCACACTCCAGGCGAGGAGATTATCAGAGCGTGCACACCAGGGGTGCGAGTCCTGAGGACCTCCTTAGGATTCTGCCTACCACAACCATCCCGTGAGAAACACAGATTTAGAAAGACAGAAATCACAGGCTGCTAGGCACTTGCAGTGAGGCGGGGCTGACAGAGCTAGCCGCGTAGACGTGCGTTGCACTTAGTAACAATACCATCAAAGTTAGGGGTGCTGGGGGCTCAAATGCAATGGACGTGTGTGCGAGAGGGCAGGTGAGGGGAGCTGTGCGCCAGGTGAAGACTGGTCTCGGGGCTCATTGTCTCGCCTGTGCCCGGATCAGTCAGGGAAGTTTTGTCATTTACCCTTCAGAAGCCTAAATGCTGTGTAAGAAGAAATTCTGACTTTAGTGGTGATTTTAGCATTTCCATAGACGCACTGAAGGGTCCTCATTATCTGCTGTGAGTGGCCTATCTATTCCTGTTCCCTAAAGTTACTGTCTTAGTTTTTATTTATTTATTTTTTTCACCATTTTTCTTTTTTATTTCAGCGTGTTATGGGGGTACAGATGATTAGGTTATGTATGATGCCCTTACCCTCCCTCCCCCCAAGTCCGAGCTTCAAGTGTGTCCATTGCCCCGGAGATACGCATCTCACTCATTGTTTGTGCATGTGCCCGTCCCCTCCTCCCCCTCCCCCCCCCGCCCAACATCTAATACATGTTACTGTCTTAATTTTTAAACTCTTTAGTTAAAGTAAATAATTTTCTGGGAAAATTTATAAAACCTGACACCAAAAGAAAGAGAAAATGTAGACAAATCAATTGGCATAGAAGAAACAGAAAAATGTTTCAGTTATTCCTCAAAAAGTCAAAAACTGTCAATAATAGGCAGGAAAAAATTGAAATAGAAGAATAAAAAGGACAATTAGTCATTCCAGCAGGGTTTTGGTACATGACTAGATAAACGTATCAAATGAAAAATGAGAAAGTTCAGGACTTTAGTAAGTGATGCAAATGACATATCAAATCAGTAGGAAAATGAAGGATTACTTAATGAATGATGTTGGGATAACCGAATAATCATTTAGGACAAAAAGTTAACTTAATCCAGATCCTGCAGTAACATTAGAGTAAATTTTGAACGGCTCAATGATTTCAAAAATTTATTACTATTTTTATGTTTTAATTTACTTTTTATTCTTAATTATTATAGGTACGTAATAGTTAAATATCCTTACAGGTTACGCGTGATGTTTTGGTACAGGCACACAATGTGAATTACTCAAATCAGGGTAACTGGGGTATCCGTCACCTCAGGCATTTATCGTTTGATTTTAATGGAAACATGAAACCAGAAAAGTAATGGAAGAAACAACAATAGAATTCATTTATAACTGCCAAGTCGACCTTTCTAATCATAACACAAAACTGAGATAAGATAAGATAAATTTGACTATGTGAAAAGAAGTGTGAGCAGCAAAACCCATCACAAGCTAAGTGATAAAAAACAAGCGACCAACGGGGAAAATTATTTGCAACTCATCAAAAATAAGCAGATAAATCCCTATCATATAAGGAGCTTCCATTATAATAATTGATGAAGAAAAGACCACAGGAGACAAATGGGTAAAAGGTGAGAACGGGCTGCTTACAAAAAAGGAAATACAAATGGCTTTTAAATATATGAAAGATTGCTCAGTCTCACTCAGAATAAATTCTTTCAAAAACAATTTTTTTTTGGTGCCTACTATGTGCCAATAATATTGGCCTTCTGGGTACGGAAGACATAGCAGAGAACCAACCAAAGATCTTTGTCCTTGTGGAGCTTGCGTTCTGGTGCAAATGCAAATTAAAGCTATACTGAAATGCCATTTGATTAATTTTTTGAAATGTCATTTTTTACTGGACAAGACTGGCAATATCCAGAAGTTCGACCAACATTCTCTGGCAGAGCACAGTTGCTACCCACATACTTTATGCACCAGAGAGCAAATCTGTGCAACTTCTGTGACAGTCGTTTGGTAGTAACCATCAAAGTTACAAATGGACAAGCCCTTTGAGCCAGCAAATCTATTTCTAGGAATTTATCTTACAGATATACAAGAGCGAAATGATGTCTGTACAATGTTTATTGCTAGAGTGTTTGCAATATTAAAAGATTAGACACAATCTAAAGAGGAGGCTGTTTAACTACTCGATGACACAGCTGTGCACTGAAATGCCAGGGAGCTGTAAAAAGGAGTGGGAAGGTGCTTATGTGGAAAGATCTCTGAGATATATTACTAAGTATGTATGTGCATGTGGTATGCTACCAATTATGTAAAAAAGGACCAAATTAGCACATGCATATATAAGCATAAGTTATATACACAGCATATAAATTAATATTACATATGCATTTACAGTGTATATACACAACATACATATAGACATACACACTGATATATAAAAACTAATAACCTCGCTTGCCTTTGACAGAGGAAAATTAAATCCCCCAAATAAAGTTTTTTTATTAAAATAAATTTTCTGATTAAAAGAAAAATTTCTGAGAGAAGTTTCCACAGTGTTTCTATTTGAGTAACCTGTACTGGTGTTTGGTCATCTTCATGGACAAAAAGCATTATATTCTTGAATACACTTACGTACACCACCCCCCCCCCCTTTTTTTTTTGAGACAGAGTCTCACTCTGTTGCCCAGGCTAGAGTGCCGTGGCGTCAGCCTAGCTCACAGCAACCTCAAACTCCTGGGCTCAAGCGATCCTACTGCCTCAGCCTCCCGAGTAGCTGGAACTACAGGCACTCACCAGCATGCCTGGCTACTTTTTCTATTTTTTGTTGAGATGGGGTCTCGCTCTTGCTTAGGCTGGTCTTCAACTCCTGGCTTCAAGCAATCCCCCTGCCTCAGCCTCCCAGAGTGCTAGGATTACAGGTGTGAGCCACTGCGCTTGGCCTTAATTCCTCCTTTCTGATTTCTCTTCTTAAGAAGCAACTACTCAAACTTCTCTTTAAATTGTAGGTCATTTCATTTCCACCCATGTTCAGGGCTTTGTAGCAAAAGCAGAAATGTCTATGAAACAAAAACCACATACATAAAAATGAGAAAACCAAGACCCCAGATTTCAGGTGAATGAAAGAGTTGCTATAACGTAGAAAATAAAATTTCATCTTCTACCTTGAAGTCAGCTGAAGATAATATTAGAAGAATTTTACAAAGTCACATAATCATAGAGCAGGAAGACAGATTATAATTCATCTCATATATAACTTTGCTTTTTGGTAAAATTGTCCCTGAAATCAAGGATGTCATTAATATTCCCCTTAGGGACATATTTCAACAAAACGTGATAGAACAAAATGTTTGCAGTCAGTTTCCAAACTCAGATTCTTTTCTTGCTACTTGACATTGTACTTGAAAATTTTTCTCTATGCTGCTCCTCCTTAATTATGCTTTAAGCTTTATGTCCAGGAAATGGGGTGAGAAGTTGAGGGAAAGAATGAGGGGAAAGAAATCGTTGAGAGAAATGGGTTAAAAGTGTCAGAGTTGTAGGCAGGACGTTGAGCGGTAGAAACTGCCCCACTCCTTCCTAGATGTCGGCCATGCTTCTCTTACTACACTTACTGCATTTGAATATATCATGCCTTTTTTTGCATTGCTATTAACTAAACGCAAACTAAAACAATTCTCCTTCTTAAACAGTAGAGACCACACAGAGGCTGCCTTTGGCTCAGGTCAAGGAAAAGCTTCCCCCAGTACCAGAACTATAATTCGCTTCCACAGTGCATCAGTGAGATCAAAACACATGGTGAGTGATGATTCGGCTTAATTGACGATTCGACTTTACTCCTTATAAACAGAAGTATGTTCAAGGAGGCATGGTTTACCTCAAACTGTATTTCTGTCTGTGGGTAGCAGGTAGAAAGTGATGAATTTGCAAAGTCAGTTCATATGAATTAGATGACATGAAATAAAATCACTATTTTCTCCAAGATCTAGGAAGGATCAGTAAGTGAATCTCTTAGTTGGTTAAATAACTAATCTCTTAGTCTGTTACACTGCCCCTCAGATGTCAGCATATCCCTTGGCACTGTTTTTCCTGGAGTTGAGTCACCATTTAATCAGAGCTTGAGAAAAGAGAGAACGAGATGTATAAAGCAGAAACACCTCCCCCCGTTATTGAAATAAAAAACTCTCAATCTAACATTGATTTCAACATATTTGAGTCTAAAACTGTGGTCAGAATTGTCTTTGAAAATTTTTCATTCATTCAACAAATATGTATTAAGTAGATATTATGTTAAAGGTACTATGAATAGCCACGGTAGGAGTATAAAAATTATAACAGGGAAGAGAAGGGAAACTAGCATTTATTAGTACCTTCTTACTGTGCTTGGTAGTGACTGGCTGTATCATTTACTCTTCATAATACTCAGGTGATTATCAGTCAAGGTCCTATCAGGAAGCTGGTGTTATGCTCAAACTGAATAATTTGAGGATAGTTTAATGAAGGGTGTATTAAGCCAGGATGTGGGAAACCCAAAGGGAGAGTGTAGCACTCTAGCCATAGTGGCGCACTGCTACTGTCCTTAAGACTAGAGGGGCAGGAACCCAGGGGACAGAGACAGAGACAGGCAGACACACAGAATGACTATGTAGGGAGGGCTGTCTGACAGGAGCTGTGATCTTTGGCCAAGGGACACTACAGCGGTGTTCGCCCTGAAGAGAGAGGATAAATATCCCCACCTTGCCGTCCTCCCCTCCTGGCACTAGTCTATGTGCTACTACTCCCCACTGGCCAAACCCAGCCAGAGCCAGAGGGCCCTGGAGCCTAGCAGAGGCAGCTCGTCCAGGTCCCCCTCCCAGGCACCAAGCAGGTGAGATAAGTGGAGAGCCCATCTGAAGAGGCAACCGAGGGGTCCAGCATAGGTCAGTACGCCGAGGGTACATTTATGCTCAGGACTAAAGAGAGGTAGGTCTTAGTGTGTGGGTCTCAGTGCAACCAGGCTCTACTGTCGGCTCAGAGATTCCTACGTAGACTATATTGTAGTCACATGGTTGTGTCAATGAAATGTCACTGGATGTCATGTTTGATGGCTCTCGTCATTCTGGGATTGCTCAACTTTGCGTTGAAGAGCTCCCCTTTGTTCATTCACCAAATGATTTTCTAGTACTTATGGTGTGTCAAGAACTCTGCTCACTGGCAAAAAGAACAACACAGTCAGTGAGGAATCAGATTAGGGAACACCTAATTGCAATAGAAAGTGTCAAATAACATGGTAGAGGTATTCACAGAGGACTAGGAGAGTGCATCAGAAACCCCTCATTCACCGGAAATGATGCCTCACATCTAACAGGTGTTCAGTAAGTATTTGTTGAATGAATGAATAAATCCCAACTTCTGTGTCTCTCTATTAGAATCATGAAACGTTATATCGGAAAGAAACTTGCATGCACACTTACATTTTCATTTAATAGATGCAGAAAATAAGCCGAACATACTGGAGTAGTAGAGGCTGGAGGAAACCCTAGGTTTCCTAGGCGCTAGGCTGAACAGTTTATAATTGCGGAGCACACTGTCTTCTTAGGGAGTTTTTGCACCACGTAACCTAGGATTAGAAAGTGCCCTGGATCAGTGACTTGAAGATTTTTGGTGTTCTTATAATAGACAGTTTTAATAAATGGTTTTAAAATTGTTCTCTACCAATTCTAATTCAGGTAACACTTAACAAAACTTTTGTGTGAATAATATTTGCTTGCTTTTTTTTTTTTTTACATCTTCAGACTATCCCTGGGCAATTTGGACTGAACCCTTTAGAAGAATACTCATAATTTATTTTGGGAATGAGCAGACTGGTAAATGTTTGGATGCACCATAGGAAAGCAGTAGAAATGCTGACTGGTTAATGAAAACTCGCACAAGAGCATTCATTTGACCCCTGAGATCAAGGGAATATGAGTTTTTTCAAGAAGCCCTTATGAGTCACGGAAAACAAGCTGATGAAATTCGTGGAAACAGCAAGAGAATGTATACTCTCTTTTTTTCATCTACCACTTTACAGTTTAGAATGGACCTAAGTTTTGAGGAAACAAAAACAGGATCAAGGATGAAAATCCTTTCTCTCATCGGGCCACATTGCAGATGCTGATTCGATGGCTTTTCCTATACAGATGGATTGTTTCTATTAATATTTAGCAAATGGCTTAGAAGAACCTGGGTTGTTTGTTTACACATTCATTTGCATTTGTAAATCTTGCCTCCTTTTGGCACCAAGATGGTTTAAAAAGATTCAAAGGTACCAAAATACGATGAATTTAAATGAAATACTTGCGTATTTAAACCTAATAGCAAAAGGTCTCCTCTGATTCTTTTGGCTTTCTTATTTGTTACAGCCATCATTGACATCAAGGATAATTATAGTTATTAACTATAATAAAAAGCACATATAGACAAGAGGGCAGCTCTTAACATTGAAAAATATGAAAATACTTTCCTAGAATTAAGGTGGAACTTAATCTCCTGGCATGATTATATGGTTAAAATTGCTTATCTAAGTTGATCTACAGAGTTTAGCTGCAGGGTCAGATTTAATACTAAGTTATGGGGTTCAGGCCATGCCACCCCATAATATGGCACCTTGGCATATTGAATATTTTAAGCCGGAGGAATTTGAGAAAATGGCAGAAGCAGGCAGGTCACTCTGACCTCGCCCTGCCACCCTTCTCTGAAGAAGGCAATAAAACCTTTTCTGACCTTCCTCCCGCCCGCCCGTGAGGGGTGCCCGCCCCGTGCCCAGAGGAAAGGAGCGTCCTCACTCCGGGGCGGGACGCAGAGCGGAGTCTGAACACACAGGCCTTGCCCAGTCCGCCAGTTTATCCCTGCTGGGTCAAACTCTTTGCAACTCTTCATTCCTCATCAAGCCCACGGTGAAAACACTCGGTCTGGCCGTTTCTTCGGCCCTTCATTTCCTTATGAGGACGCTCGTGTCACATAAACTTACTTGACGAAATTTGCATGTCTTTGCTTGTCAATCTTTTATCGCAGAGGCCTGGGCTATGAACCCAGAGGGGAAGAAGGGAAAGCTGTCTCCCCCTACGTAAGCAGCCCAGCAGGAACGCCTGTTCCAGCACACGGAAGTTTTCCGGTGCTCCGCTGTTTTTTCCTTCCGGATCACAGGCTGAGGTTCTCCTTGCAAGATTTAGGGGCTCACGGTCGGCACGTGCGAGTCTAGCGGCCGCGCTTCTTGTCGCCCGTGTGTCCCGGCTGCGGGGAGCGGGGGCGGGGCCTGCCGCAGGGGCGCGGGCTGCGCGGCGTGCGTGCCTCGCAACTTCCGGACCCGCCCGTTGCGTTCTCACCGACTCCCCGGAAGTCCGTGGGGACGTGGCTCACAAAAGGCATACGTTAAGCTCCAAGCCCTGTGAAATCGTGGCAGCTTTCAGGAAGGAAATTTCACTTATTTGTTAAAATAACAGACTTCGGCGACACGGGGAAGCGCACGAAGGTGGGCGGCCCCCGGCGGCCCGCAGAGCACGTGCGGCCTGGCAGCGAGGACAGGCTTCGCGCCCCGGTCGAGGCTCTGGCCGCACGAGGGTGACAGCAGCGTGGCCTGCGGGCTGCGCTCCCCGCGAGACCGGGGACGGCTCGCAGCTGTGGGGGTGGGGCGGGCTTCTCGCGTCGCTGAGCCGCCGCACCGCGCCAGGGCGCACGGCCTCGGCGCCCAGAGCCCTTCCCGTGTCTGCCGCGTGCAGCTCTTTCCCTGCTTGTCAATGACTCTCTGTCTCCTGCTCCACGCTGGAAGCTGCACGAGGGCAGGGGACACGTCTGGTTCTGCTCACCACAGTGTCCCTGGCAGCTAGGAGCGTGCTTGGCTCACAGTAGTTCCTTCATAAATGCCTGCTGGGTGGAGAGCTATTTACTGAGCCCCCGTCACACATCTGGCACGGGCCACGTGTATTCTCGTTTCTTCCTCGCAATGACGCCTCGAGACAGGTGTCATTCTCCTTGAGGAAGCTGAGGCCAAGGGAAGCCTGGAAATCCTGTTGACTGATGGGATCCAACCCTCGGTTGGTCGGGCTGCAAAGCCTGTGCTGCTCCTACTACCTGCACTGCGGGTAGAGACGGGGCAAAGGGAGCAGAACGCATGGCGGGTGCCGAGAGAAGGGGCTGCCGCCTAGAGCACCATCAGTGCTCTCTTCTGGGAGTGCAAGGAAGCTGGGTCACCTGTGCCCTAGAAGAAGATGACTGGCCGGAATTGCTACAAGGTCTCTGGCCCTGCATGTCTTGCTTAGCCTGGCACTCTGCCCCCTCCCCTCCCAACTGACCCCAATAAAAACCAACCGTGGGCCTTGGTGTCTGGCATGATGCATGGCTTCCAATCGGCACCTCTGAACCTGGCTTTTGGTGTACTCTGCTTTTCAGCTGGTCCCAAACCTGATCCTGACCCACCCCGCCCCCACTCCCTGTGACTTACAGCTTAGTGCTGTGTCTGCGGCTCTCTCTGCAGGCTTTTCTCCCCACCTGTGACCCATACTCGCCTCCTTGACCTCCGTGTACTGCTGAGCAGCCAGGACCTTGCCCTCTATTCAAAGAACCAGGCCCAGATTGCAGAGGGGAGAGAGGAAGCGTGGCAGCATGCCAGGAGTGGGTGGACACTGGCATTGGAGTGGCAGAGAGAGGGATGGCTAGAGGACAGGCTACCGGGGGAGGGTTGGTGGTGCTCGCTAAATGACCTGATGTAGGGGTGGGAGTGAGGTGGGCAGGGAAAGGAGGAGAGAAGAGACTCAGATGGCAGCCCTCCAGGCTTCTGCGTGCAGAAAAGAATATTGCCCAAGCTTACAGTTACTAGTTTTAGTTTCTGGAAGAATTTTCCTTTTCCAGAGGATTCCCTCCCAAATTTGTACTTTCATCCTATCCTTAAGTTTGAATCTTTCTCCTCCTGTACTTAGTCATCCCTGAAGAGCAGCCATGCAGACAACCTTCCCTTCCCTGCTGTTTTCTACATTACATTTGCTGTTTCCTTCCCATTTTAGAAATCCTTTACCCTCCAAGGGCCACCTTGTCCGTGAAGTTTCCCCTGCTCACTCCAGTTGGAATAATGTCTGTTTTTTTCTGAGTCTCCCTGGGGTTCAGTCTTCTTACCATGGTATTTCTGACTTCCCGCCTTGTGCCACAGCTAGTTATATTCACTTCTCTTTCCCTACCAGACTGTGGGTGAGAATGGGAACCACGTCTTGTCCAGCTTCTCATTCCCCAGTGACAGGTATTGCTTCTCTCCAAGCTGCTCCCCGCTTGCAACATTGGTCTTGGTTAGTGGAGTTTGGAAGCTGTTGGCTGTGAATTCAGGATGGGGGTTACCTGTAAGAGGATGTAATGGGAGATCTACACACCAGGGCCTTCTGACACAGTTATACTTTTTTTAAAAAATAAACTTGGTGGTGGGTAAATGAGAGTTCTTTGGGTCATAATTCTAAATAGCTTGCACATATTTTAAAACATACTTTTGTACCTGCTCAATATTTTATAAAATCAAATTTAAAAATAGACAAATATTGTATTGAATTGCATTCTTCCTTCTTGTCTTCCTCTCTTGGTAGATAGCTTCTGTCTCTTTCCCAGCTACATTCCGTTCCCTTCTTGCAAGACATGGTAGAACAAAGACTTAGATTCAATTTTCTGACACAAAAATTGTCTATTTTACTTCTCTTTTCTTCTTTTTCTGTCTACATATTTCTTAACTATCTCCAACTGTTTGTTATTCTGATGGGTAGTGATCTTAGGATAATGAGTAGAAGGGAGTTCTTACATTTTAAAAATCTAAATAAGATATAGTATCATGCCTATCACTATAGGCGTGACAACTACAAAATACATTTTAAAAATCCTCTGCAAACTGGGAATTAGGTACTTTAGTAAAGACAGAATAGTTAGTCTAGATGCTTCTGCGATATGAAGAAAAAGAAGTGTGCACGCACAGGCAAGGGGAAAACAGGGCATTTTGGCAAAAAATCATACTTCACAAAATCATCCAGGAAAGTTCTTTCTCTCTGCTGAGAGTTGAGGCTGTTATCAGAGGGGAATATGGAGATAACATTGCTGCCGACTGGAAGGATAGAGATCTGTGGGTCATCACTTAAGATACTTTCATCTGAAAAAACATCAAGATGGTTGTCTAGAGGCACACAGCACTTGCTTCCTCCACAAAGAAAAGACCAAAACAACAAATAGATAATCATATGTCAAACATAGAGTCTGGCATTTGTCAAGGCAATGACAAAGACCCTCCCAGGCATAGAAACTCGAGATGGCGGCAGAGAGGGAAGTGAAGCAGCTGGCTGGGACTGGCTTGGAGCAAAGAGGAACTCCCCATTGTGGGGAAAAGCAGGTGGGAGATCCCCAGGCGTCCACATTCCCACCACAGACACCTGCAAGGAAGCCCCCTGGAGTCTCCACGACTGCATCATTCCAGAGAGAGAATTCATGCTGAGGTCCCCCAAGCCCTGGAGCCCAGGCTGCTGCAGCACAGTGCCACAGTGCCGTTTTGGGAGTAGAGCCACTACCAAAGTACATCTGGCCCTGAGGACCAAGGAACAGGTGCCTGCCTGTGAGCACCACCCAGGGACCTGAGGAACAGTCTGCCTGGGGGCTGCCACCGCCACTGCCAACAAACACACCCCCTCTAGTGGTGAGGTAGTGGAATGCCTGTGCCAGCCTCCCAGGGATCCAAGATCGGCCTGCTTAGCCTCCTCGTTCCCAGCAAAGCTATGCCACGGCCTCCACAAACAACCACAGCCTAGGCCACTGAGGAACCTGCAAACACTACTGACATTGATCACAGCCAAAGAAATGTACAGAGACCACATGACTGCGCCCATCCGGAACCAAAGCCAAAGCACTACTCAGCTGATGCTGTAGATAAATCTACAGGAAAAAGTCTTTGCCTATGAAAGCTAGTCCATAAAATTGGATGAAGTGACTATTACACCAGTTGCACAGATATCAACACAAGGACACAAGAAACATGAAAAAGCAAGGAAACATGACACCTCCAAAGGAACACAATAATTCTCTAGTAACAGATCCCGACAAAAAGGAAGTCTGGCTGGATGTGGTGGCTCATG